GGGGGGGGGTATCATATAAACGTATGCCGTAGTCGGTAGACCCTGAACCTGGGGGTGGTTCAGTTGCAAACATACTTATGCGCCGCTCCATCACGCCTCCGTTTCGACGCGGGGCACGTCCTTCACAAGCGTTTACACTTGCAGCCTTCGGACGCTCTTATGTACGATTCTCGCATATACTGTTTCTGCCCAAGAGAGGGACAAGCAGTTACACGTAGTCAGACGGTCCAAGTCAAAACTGACTGCACATGGCATATCAAGGTTAATCCCCTTTTACAGAACGGCTCTTGACTGACCACGCGTCGTGATGCCCAAGGAAAACACGTTGCAGGGTCACGGAAGAGGGGGGATGAAAGTCTGGTTCGAACGAGCATCAAAATGGAATTATCATGCCGGAAGGTGACCGAACGTTGGCCATGCCTGGATTACATGGCGGGCTGAAAAAGAACAGGCGGATGTTGTGCGCGGTGTGCTAATAACCTAGGAGTCACATATTTTTCAACCATAAGACAAAGACGGGCAGCATACATTCGCCGCGTGTCTCGGGGAAATAGATTCACGCTACAGCAGCGTACCCTGAGAAACTGCGGGGGCGTGCGTAACTGCCGCGAAGGATCCCGCAAGGAGGCGTGCCGAAACTTCGCGCAGACAAAAATCACCTCGCCTGCAACCGTTTTCCCATGACCCAGTTGTGATGGACGGAAGACTCGGAAACCACACCAACAAGACGGGTTCTTCGCCAACCAGACACACAGCTGCCACGTACACATAAGCGACGCCCGGGAACGTCAAGAGAGAAATAAAAAAAACATCACCGGCAGTGCTGCAAATTTCTTCCGCGCAGCAGCGGCAGGACGATCTCTCACCCCGTAACGACAGCATCTGAGAGGTCCGTCTCAGGAAACTTCACGGCCATCCTATCTATGTAGCCGCATCGCGCCCCATCCGCGGCGTCCCCGACGGCTATGGCCCACTTCCACCGGTCCCCGTTGGCGCCGGTGATGCTGGACGTGTGGCTCACCACTAGGGTCTCTGTCCGCCGATAAACCTGTCGCGCCAACGGGCGTCCGAAACGTGTCAAGGGTTTGACGAGATACCCGATTATGCCATGCTCTCTAAACATGAGGGTAAAACTATAGTGTGACGTGGTGAGAACTCCGCTTGTACATTGCGTGGAGTAGCTCGAGATGGACGAGAGAGGTGGCGAACGAACCAGACTGAAAAAAGAACGCCGGCAGAGTTACGGCAATCTGCCCTGTCCTACTTCTCGCAGTAGAGAAAAAGTCACCACTTTCCTAGCTTCGCGTTGAGAAAGTAGCTCGAGATCGACTAGAGGGAAGGCGAACGAACCCAAACAAAAAAAATGAACGTCGGTAGAGTTGCGGCAACCTCCCGTCGCTCATTCTCTCTTCCCCTGGCTCTCGCTCCCTTTCTTCGCGTCTTCTCGGACCCGGAGGAGAGCACGCCGGCGTTTCTGTCCTTCCCGCCGCAAAAGTTGTTGTTGTTACTGTTGTTGCTGTTGTTTTCACCCTCCGCTCAGTACCTCACGGGTCCAACTGATACGGACGCTTCCTTTCCGGGGTCACCGACCAACTACTACCCCAAAAGGATGTACACCTTTCCAGAAGCCAAGGAAACGGAAAAAAAAAAAACAGACCAAGTTAAACACTACACGGATCATATCTCCATCAGTCTTGCCTGCTGCGCGGTCGTCAATGCCAAAAAGAATCACGAGCGCGCTAGAAAGCGGTTCTGGCGGGGCATTTTCCCCGTGAGCGTATAAACTTGGGTTTGTTTTCATGGGCCATCCGGCCGGCACCGGGTGGATGCACACCACAGAGACATACACACATCATGATCGTCGTTCCGGCCTGTCGACACGACACGTACCGGGATCGGGATGCCCAGCTCCTGCATGACGCAGCGCATGACCGCGTCGATCTTGGCGCGGATGACGATCGCAGCTCGCGCATCCTTACAAGTCTTCTGGAGGTTGACGATGACCTAAATAGGGGGTGGAACGCACGGGACAGCAATCGATTGATTGATTGATCGATCGGTTCGCGCCGAACCACAGCCAACCACGCCGACCAGGCGTGGATACGCGCGGGGGAGTGAGCTGCTGGTAGGTTGTGGAACATGCACGCATGCATCGTGACGCTTGCACAGCAGTGTCGCCTTGGGTGTGACCACTCTTTCCCCCCCGGTTTCTCGACAAAAGGGGATTGGAGGGTATACTGCTGTAGCTTTACTGTACATAATTCCTCGGCATACTGTAGGGTTCAAGCGACACACAAGACAATATATACGTCACTACCTGAGAAGTGGTACCGAGCATTGACTAGGACTGGAGTGGGTGGTATGCATGTCCCCCTACAGAGGGTGCCAAACTTGCGGACAACGTCATTGCCCCGAAAAAATAGTTGAGCGTGGGAGGCCAAGCACAAGCAAACGTGCGTCTGCCCTTCTTTGACCTGCTGTAGTTCATCGCACGAAAAATGCCTTCGTCAATGTGGACTAGGCAAGGAGGGTGCCGGAAGGGTCTACAGGCGTTACGTGCGTGCACACACAGGGTGATACACACAGGGTGATAAAAACACGCACACACACACAAGAGGAGAGTAGCTTTAGCCTCTCCCATAACGCCCCTCTTCACGGGGTCCTATGCAAATATCATGGCACTTTCGAAGCATTTTCTGTTTTCAGCCGCACCCCTGAGGCTGACGTCTTTTCATTGGTCAGCCGGTTATGTAGCGCGGTCGATGCTTACAACAAAAACACACGCGTGCACACACAAGCGAGCCAAGCGCGGCCTGCGCACCACGTACCATCTTGTCGGCCTTGGCGGGAAGGTCTTTGGACGGGGAGATCTGCAGAGAAGTCCCCAGGCAGAGGCTGACACCCCCGGTTTCGCGGCACCTATTTCAAAAGAAGTCAAGTCACATCGCCATCAGCTTGAAACACCATTTTACTAAAACTTCTCACAGGACATGAGGTATGAACCACAAGAACGCGTCCAACTACACTACGCCATCGTTTAAGAGCGAGCGCCGAAATGCTGCAAGCGGCGCACTTCCATTCCTACGCGAGGCATTTAAGTGTATCTATGAAATAGAGGGGCAGGGGGCACGTAGCCCCTAACCCCCGAAATTCCATCGATTCCATACTTTATCCAACATGTTTGCATAGTATAACCTGCGTAGGCTACTGTAAGTGACCGAACACCAATGCCACAACTTGCGAACAGTCGCGCGCGTGGTCCTCAGGAATACATATCGTGTTCTATGCACAAGATAACACCCCCTGTGACAAAAAAGACTTCGGCGGTAAAAATACTGTCAATTGTGTTTCTCTTAGGGGTGGGCGGGGGCGGCATCTGACCCTATTGCTTGATCTGAGATCATTCTTAAGTTTCGGGCTCATGTTGAGCCGCAAGACTATCATCACCGGGGGTGGTATTGTGTGTGTGTGGCGGGGTATCTGTTGCCAGAGGGTGTTATCTTGTGTGGAACACGGTAGTCGGGACTTCTCGCTGGGGAACAAAGGCCGCGACGCGCTGCTGCGGATGGGCTGTGGCAGTCGGGTGAGAAACCGAAATGGACCGACCTTTCGGAGAGGTCCACAGCCTGCTCGTAGTCTCTCAGCTCGTCCTCCCAGTCAAGAAGCGCGTCAACCATCCCTTCTCCACACTCACGGCACCGTCTACCTGCGTGTGTGCGTGTGTACGGGTGTTTGTGAGCAACCGTTCAGCGTGGTGGGTGCGTCTCTCTCACACACAATCAGGTGTCTGTGAGGGCACCATTGGTAGAGTAACAGCCGTGGCATCAACATGCGGTAGGGCTGCTACAGCAGTACGGGCACACGGCTACCCGTTCTACGACCACGACCGCTACTGTTGCTACTGCTGCTGCTGCTGCTGCTGCTGCCAGCGCTACTGCTGCCTCTTGATCCTACACCACTCCTCAATGCCAACTGCTACTGTTGCGTACGCTACAGATGCTGCCACTGCTGCTGCAGCGTTTCCACCACTCCATTACACCACCTGTTACTGTCATGGACGTCGATTCGAATACCTTACCTGTTGGCTTGAAGCCCACACCGCCAACGTCCGCCGTGCGCCGAAACTCCTTCCCGCAGCCCGAGCAAATCTCCATGAAGAGGTTGCCGTGCAGCTCGCACAGCTTCTCACGCGGGATACCGGATCGCAGATGCAGCCCTGCAAAGAACAAATGCACACCCGAACTCGAAAAAAATAAAAATAAAAATGAGGTACAGAGTGAGCGCCCGCACGTCAGAACCTCTACCATAGCTTTGGCCGGGGCTGGAATGGTGGTGATATAGATTTTAGTGTAGGCGTTCTAGCCATAGCTTACAAATGGTGCTCACGTTCTTAGGTTTGGACTCTTGGGGGGGCTATATCAATATCTCTTCCTGACTGCCAAGTTTCTTAAAGTGCGGGCGCTGACTGTAGTCGTGGATGAGTCACCAACAACAGAGCGTTCTGTGTGGGGGATGGATGGAAAGGATCCCCTGTAGGTCGCACGTATCGTGTCAACAAATAGTTGTCATAACGCGGAGTGATATACAATCGAGTCGCAAGCACAAACAAGGCAGGTGGGGTCTTGGTGCGGTAATGGGGAGAGAAGACTCACCGCTGTCGGCACCGTGAGCGTTGCGTTACCAAAGAAACAAAGAAAAGCACAACATTTCGTGACGCGAGCCATTGCTTGAGAGAAGGACGTGGTCCTTACGCAGTGGAAGTCATTCCATCATTCCATTGTACCTTCCTCGCTCTTTTTCTGTCTCTGTTTCTGTCTCTGTCTGTCTCTGTCTGTCTCTCTACCTCCTTGTCTCTCTCCAGCTCTCTCTCCCTCCCTTTCTCTGTCGCTGTCTCTGTCTCTCTCGCCAACTCTCCCTCCCCCCCCCCCCCCCCNAACCCGGCGTGCTCCGTCCCGGCTTTGTAGGGATGCGAGGTCAATGGTCTAACGACTACGGCATGCACGACTATGAGTACCCCCCCCCCCCCCCCCCCCCCTCTCTCTCTCTCCACCTCTCCACCTCTCACCGTCGACGTTTTGGCTGATCACCGCGTGCACGAAGCCCTCGTTCACTAGCCCCACCAGCGCCATGTGCCCGAGCGTGGGCATGGCGTTGTCCCAGCACTTCTCGTAGTCCGGTAAAGGCTGCCCTTGGTTCTCCAAGGTCCAAACCCCGTCTTTGCCCCGGAAGTCCGGGATGCCTTATTCGTCATGCGGGCAAAAGGGACATTATCGCGCTCGTTCGTGAAACAAGAAAAAAGAAACAAGTGCCTTGAGCCATGGTAGTGCTAACAGGGTTTTTCACACGCCTAGCAAGTCTCGCTACAATGGTAGCCTTGGCGAGGATTGTATCTTGGTTTTAGTATGAGGTGCGGGGTGGGGTTGGGGGTTAGGGGCAGGGATACGAACCCCCCCTCTCTTTTTCATAAACTAAGTCAATCCGGGTACAATTGATGGGTGCCAATTGATGGGTGCGAGCGACACGATGAGTCGCCAGTACGCGCATGGAGAGAGGGCGAACATCTCGACGATGCAGCAGCAGCAGCAGCAGCTGCAAAAGCTTTTGATGGGGTGCGCGATCTCATCATGTGGTGCCTGATAAGGCCGATGTCCTTGGATGCGCTCGATGCCAAGGCATATCCAAACCTCCCCTCCAAACCCCTTCTCGCCCCTTTGCGAAGACGAAGATAGATTCGCGTTTCCCTGTGTCAGGTGTAACGGCCACCTGGACGATGAAACCATTCATTAATGACGGGGATCTATAGGTAGGACAGTAATATCCGGAAGTAGGATGCGGTTTACTTCTGCCCGCTGCCTCGAGTCCAGAGTACTGCACTTTGTGCACTTTGACGCATCTTCGGTGCGAAGACTGAGGCAAGCGCCGCGGGAGGAAGGGTGGAGTAAACAGGACAACAAAACAATCTTCCAAGAAATGAAAAGCTCCTGCGTGATCGATCCCGGCTGACATGCCAGGCATGGATCCCGGAAGGTGTGAAGATAAGGACGAACACATTTGTTGTTTTCAACCGCAAAGACTGACGCCTTTTCATTGGTCAGTCGGTTAGAGGTCGACGCCAAAATATTAACAGCGAAAACAAACAGCACGCACACAGCCATCCAGAGAGTAGCGTAGATTCCCCCGTGACGCTACATCACAGGGAATACCAGATTGTGACCTTGAGAAGCATTTAGTTCATTCAACCGCACTTATACTGACGTCTTTTCATTGGTCAGCCGGTTAGCGCGGTCGATGCTAACACGAAACACACACAAATATTCTCACCCGCAGCGGTAGACAAGCCTGCCCCGGTGTGAGCCACCGCGATGGGCGCAGTCCTCAGCAGGCTCGCGAGCCTCTTGGCTTCCGCTTGCACCTTCGCGTGAGGCATCTCCGACTCGGTAGCCCCACATCGTCCTTTGTAGTGGCCTGCCGTAAAAACAACAACAGAACGTGGCCGCGGGGCCTATGGTTCGAGCGAAAAGAGAAATGAAAAAAGACAACGAACGCCTTAAACTTCTCAGACACCACCGTTTGAGACGGAAAACACCGACGATTTGGAGCACGACGTACGCCTAACTTTTCGTGCTTAGGACGAACGCACACAACAGCAGTTGAACCGCGGAAGCGTATCAAGCTCTCCCTTGCCATGACGTATCCCTGGCTCCGACCAAATTCGGCACTCCGCCACAAACTCCGGCGCTTCGTTATCTTTTTAATGCAAACAAACTGAGGCCATCCTCCGTTAGGGGACCCTCTTTAGAACAAAACATACCATCAGCGCAAGACTCCCCGTTCGAGATAATACCCCATTCCAGGGCTGCGTTGAAGTCTGATACTCTTGTGGGTTGAGGGAGATTGCGCTGCATACTGAATATTCAAATTGTACTCAAGTCCATACGCATACATGCAGCCCAAACTACCACACTGGACGCCGTTTCACGGACCCACTCACTCTCCGGCTGACTTTCATCACGACAACTCTCTGGTAAAGTTTGGGCGTTTCGATTCCAGCCGACGTGACTCATCTACATGCATATTGGTACGTTTTTCCTGACCGCCTTCGCGCGGTTAGTACGCAGACCCCTTTCCCCATCCCTAACCCTTACCCAACTTCCACGATTGTAATATGTAGCAGTAATATTTATCCAATACTATCCAACATTAACCAACATGTTTGCATCATACGAAGAAACCTGCGAAGGGTACTTGTACTGGTCGTTCCCCTGCAGCGTCAGTGCAGCTCGACTGCTATTTAGAAACGAAATAAGTCCAGTACCCAGCCAGTTTTCATCCACTCACTGAAAGACTCTACCATATCCCGTTCGACTGTGGATATATCTCGAACGGGTAGTCTTGTGTGTGGTACTTTAAATTACTCTCCCAACAAAGCGACCATCCATTCGACCTTCGCTCCTCATCCCTAGCAATGTTGGAGCATACTTCAAAATGTTTCTACAAGCGTAGAGCGTACGATCGACCACCCGCACGGAGCCGTTCGCGACAAATATGTATAGTCTAATCCCGTTCGAAGAAGGGATGAAGTATGCATATCATGTGTCGGCGTGGCATAGATGTCTATACAGTCGACGGTCCTCAATAGCGGTGCCCTCAAAAGCGAGATGCCATCTATAACGGCATCACAATCGCTTGGCACGAATGCATCACTCAATAGCGGCACTTGTGCCGCTATTGAGGAATGAATCCTTTCGAGCGGCGTCGTGCCGCTGTAAAGGACAATATAATGCAAGACAAAGGCAAGGGGAGCATCAAAGCTCACAAGGATTCAGGGGTGGCGGGGCTGACGGCTGCACTCAATGAGCTCAGTATGGGCATTAAGGAGGTAGCGGTGGGGGGGGGTGGTGAACAAGACCCAGAGATGTGCGACGTACTCTCGTACCTCGGCATCGTCCCGGGTATAAGTAAGCCCGCCACCCCGGCAGCCATAGCCATCGAGGAGGTCGAGTCTTGGGGTTCAGCTAGAGGAGCAGGATGAGGTGGTTAAGGCTCTCGCCGCGGACGCGGAGGCTGCGCTCAATGAGCAGATAAATGACGACTTTACAGAGGACTCCGACTCCGACGAGGAGGAGCTGAACGACACGGGGAGGTTGAGAGTGCTGTGGGTAGGAAATTGATGGCGCAGCCGCCCTACTCGGATCTGTCGGATTTTTTCGGTCCACCACAGTAGATAGAGCAGTACGCACAGACAGTCGGCTGGAAATGACGAGACTGAGCATCGTCTTCGCAAGGCCAAGATGTCGTTCGTCGCAGCCCACGCAGCTAAATAAACCAGTCCAACAGTCAGACATGAGATTGTTTCTTGAATCACAGGCGCGTTGGTCAAGCACATCAGCAGAAGGAGTGTCTGCTCGTCATTTATTTTTGCTCTAGCAAACATTTTTTGTGTACGCCGTATGAGGTTCTTTCTCCTTGCACCTGTGGTTCATTGATTTGACGTTGCTATCGTTCTGTTTTCTGCACGGTTCGTTGCTTTGCTGCGATACGCTAGTGGGAGTGTAGTTGTAGAGTACAGCACTACAAGAACAGTACAGTACAGTACAGCAGTACTGAACGATGGTGAGGATTGTTGACTGAGCCAAACTCAATACTGCACAGTACACCCGTACAAGAGTACTGATCTGGTGTCAGCACTACACTGAACTTGAACATGCTGCTCAACGAGTGTATTTTCGGACGCAATGGCGTAGGTAACAACACATGACACCAACGACCGTAGGGTGTGTTGAGAAATACGGCTTCGTTGCCGCTCTCATCCTCAAAAGCGGTGTTGATACCGCTATTGAGGGATGGCTTCGGGGTTGTTGCCGCTCTCATCCCAATAGCCGTATTAATACCGCAAATGAGGAATAGCGGTAGAGTACCGCTCATGAGGAATAGCGGTATAGTGCCGCTATTGAGGGATAGCGGCAGTGCCCTCAATAGCGGTATCAAGGCCTCTTGTCACTACCTACCGCTATTGAGGACCGTCGACTGTTGTACTGAAAGCGTGAGGGTTAGACTGAAGGAATAGTCTAGTCTAATGGCTGGCAAAAGGACTTCAGCGCGTCCCGTGGAGGAAAGTCTCGGATGGATAATCCAATATTGTTCACGTGTTCTGCCCAGAAAGCTGCAAAAACTGTGGCGACGAGTCTAATTACAAGTAGGCCAAAGTAAATAGTACCACGCAATGCTGCTGTGCTGTAGTTATGCTGCGGCACAGGGGGAGTGCGGACTATTTAGTCTACATTATGCTGCTGTGCATCTTCATGAACGGCGGTACACCAACATGCTCACCCTTCTCCAGGCGCTTCGCGTAGCCCACGGGATTCCCCTTCGCCGCTCGTGACCTTTTCATGGCGGAATCGATGACTTAATACACTCGAAAAGTACAGTACCGTGAACACCTCACATGATCCTCTCAGGCAAGAAGCGTGGGTGCTTGAGAGTCGCATGCTGTTCCACCGCACTATTTAGCGAGGAGAGGGGGCCCAACAAACTGTACCAATATATAGTAGGGGGGGAGGTGCACCGAGGGGAGGAGCAGAGGCAGCAGCCAGCAGTGCAGCAGCACAGCTGTGCAGTTCGTGCACAGTGAGCTGCAGGCTGTGAGAGGGAGAGCTGACGAGGAGAGCGCGGAGAGGGCGATGCTAGAGTTGCGATGGATCCCTCATCTCGCCGCCGGACAAGTGTTGATGGGAATCTAAGGGTGAGCAAGAGAGAAGAACGGTGGAGTTGTTCCAATAGAGGCGGAGTGCACAACAGCTCGATGTTTTTTTTTTTTGCTCTCTGCTGTCTCGCTGTCGGTTCTGCTGCTGGAACGATCACGCCAAACACAGTAGTAGTCGTGGAAAACAAGCCAACAGCATGCACACTGCTGTGCCGGGTGCCGCAAAAGGTGCATCTGCAAGGAGTGCAATGGAGTCGGATGTCAGCAGCAGATATAATACTGCTGTGCCTACAATGATATGGATCTAGAGTTTATGCCCAATGATCGTAGTCTGTAGTTCCAGCGGGTTCCGGTGCTGCTTCGTGGGGGGGGGGAGCTTTTGCGTCACAACCTCACACCTTCGTTGAGGAATACAGCGCGCTCAAGAAGCACGAGGGGTTGGAGTGCGTAAACTAAAACGACGTGGTGATTTTGCGTAAGTGAATGGCGTATATTCTGCAAATATATAGGTGTGAAGACTCTAATTCTCTACATCGGCGGTTAGCCAAAATCACCCCGCATATTCTTGTTGACCACTTTCACCACTCTGTTGTCAACCATGTTTGCATCCGTCAACATCTGTACACAAGCTATATCTACCGTTCACAATGGTATGCGGTGAGGGGTGGACAGACGTGGGGTACATTCAACACGCCAGCAATACTTGGAGCACTGATACACTGCCGTACATGCTACTTGTCTGTTCCCTATTCCCTATTCCCCCTCATCCCACCTGCTATGTGTTCCGCGGACTGAAACTGCTCCATCGTCACTCCTCCTGCTGAAGATTTGTAACGTACTACAGCATTGAAGTGCCACACAAAACATCTACTCTGGGCAAACACTAAACACGTACTCTGTGCACTCGCTGCTACGGGAAGTAGTCGATGTTGCTGCTGGTAGTGTTACTACCTTGCGAAATCGTAGTTTGCTTTTGTGTGCCCTTCGGCACTTCATATGTAGCAAGGGCCCTATCGACAAACGGACTCCAGCCCCGTTGGAAGTGGTGGGTTTTCTCGCGGAATAGTGATGGGGCTCAAAATACTTACGCCGCATACCTTCGGCTTGTATCATAGCACAAACCTACAAACGCTTAACAGACATGCTACTAACGAGACACCTCCGTTGGTGTTCCAGGGTACGTGCTCCTTGACGCCGCTTGAACGGTGTGTTCACTCAAGGGGTCCCCATTTGGTCTCCCGACCGTGACTCCCCCCGCCCACTGAATTGCATCAACGCACAAGCCCCCGTCGGGACCCGAGACCGGAGTTCCTCGTCCAGATAGAGAGCACACACCGTAGTGCCGTCTTCAAATTCACCTATACTTCACGACGGCGGGGTTCTGTAGATGCAAGCAGCAAGGCGCACATCGAGACTCCGGCACTGAGGGGTAACACAGCTGGTAGTGGCATCGTGGGTTACTTGACCCCGTAAATCTGTGTCCTGGTGAAAGTCAAGACACGCCTGCTTTCATTTTTCGTCCAAACATTGCCATCCCTCCGCTGCCCGACATTCACCGTATCCTTCGCAAGGATTTTATCTTGGTTTTTGTATGGGGTACGGGATGGGGTTGGGGGTTAGGGATACGGATAGAAATACCCCCCCCCCCCCTCCCC